TTCCCCTCATCCATTTTCTTATCATTTGTAACAATGTTTCCTGGAAAAGACATCCCCCACAGCATGATGCTGCCACCACCAGATGTAGCGGTGTGTCCAGAACGCATTTTTTTGGGGGGGGGTGAGGGGGAGTTTGCATTTCAGACTCATCAGTGCAGTCAGCAACCAGGAAATACTTTAAAGTTTGCGATTGTAACGTGAATAAGCCCATCGGGTGTGAATACTTTCGCAACACGTCACATGTTGCAAAAGATGTGACGTGTTCTTAAAGATGGCTGAAAATGCAATAATTTTCCTATCAGTGTAATTTTTCAGACATCTGAGCTGAGTGATTTCTGTTCAGTTTTGGTTTTTTCCATTTTATTTTTTGTTCTTTCAGCTTAAATGCTGGGATCTCTGTGTTCTTTTTTATTATTATTATTTGTTGCTGCCGTCACACACATCACTATCCCAGCATCTTGTCTGTTCTCATGCCACACATGTAGTGTTTACTTTCTGGGTTTGGTGTCCAGTCCATTCAGACTGTTTGTGTCCCAAAACTCACTGTTCTTATTTAAGTTTCCATCTCTGGGCTGAAGGAGTTGAGCTGTGGTGATCATCTGGGTGTGGTCCTGGTTCCTGTTTATTTTTGTTGTTGTTGTTTCTGTCAAGCTAATAACATTAGATTTATGACTCTGATCATAAGCAAAAAAAAAAAAAAAAAAGTTAACTCTGTATACTGCAGACCTTTATACTAAAACTGAGTTGTGTTAAGGCTTCATCTATGTTCAGATAATATAACTATGAACTATTGACAGTGCCTTACAGGAGTATTTATCTCTTAAGCCACAAAAATATAATGTAATATATAATTAGGATTTTAAATGATCCAACACAAGAGAGTGGATGCATCTCCACTTTTTAAGTAGTTAGGTGGTTTCTAAGCTTTTTGATGAGATTTCCACTCCACACTTTTCATAATTTTTTGTAAGACAGTGAGAGCCAAGCTTTCTCTTGTTTCACTTTGTCTCGATAAATCACACCAAACGCATAAAAATGTGTGTTTGTTGAATAATGACCACAAAGTAATACAATTCAGAATAAATGAATACTCTGTGAGGCACTCGGGATCCAATGCCATCATTACTGGAATTATTATTGTTTTTCATAGTTTCATGGATTTTTTTTTTCTGTTTTTCTAGTTAATAGAATAGATTTATAGTTAACACATCTAGCAGACCTAAAAAAAAACTTGTAGACTGTGTGTGTGTGTGTGTGTGTGTGTGTGTGTGTGTGTGTGTGTACCAGGTTTTCATATCCTTATGGGAACCTATTTTTGTATACAATGTGGGGTTATGGGGACCATTGCTCCTTGTGGGGACATTTTCTTGATCCCCATGAGGGAAATTGTTGTTTTTTAGATTAGTGGTTAGTCTGTGATGGTTTGGTTCAGGGTAAAGGTTAAGATGAGGGTTAGATATGTGATGGTTAGGAGTATGGTAAGGGTTAGGCTGTAGAAATTAATGGAAGTCAATGTGGAGTCCCTGCAAGTGATGAAAACATGACTGTGTGTGTTGAGGGTTGGAGGAGAGGGTAGACCTCTGGTGAAGTGTTCCTGCCTTTTCTCTCCAGGGGGCGCCGCCAGAGCAACGGGCCGCTCACGCAGACAGCTGCAGGCGGATCGGTGGATTGTGACAGCCGCCGCTTTCCCCCGCGCTCGACTTCTTTAACACTTCTCTTCTCTTCTGACATATTTGAAGTCAGAGCATTAAATGTGATGCTCTCCCACATCCTGAACAAATGTGCCTGACTGAAAAGGCACAAAGCTGCGATTGTGTTTCTCTGCTGCTAGGGGGCAAAATGAGCAAAGAGAGATCCTGCCAGGGTATTTTTGTTTATTTTTTATTTTTTTTACCAAGCAATGTGAATTTAGAACAATGACACTTAAAGCTATGTTTACCAGACATATTTTAGAAAATGTAACTTTTTCGACAGATATTGACTGTTATAGTTTACTAAATTGGGTTGATTGCAGGGAGTTTTGATGTTGTATGTGTGGGAAGTTTCATTAGAGCACTTTTACTCTTTGTAATAAATGTGACCGGGTATTTAAATCCTCAGAGGCTAAATGGTGTGGATATTTGCCTTATTATTATGGAGAAAAGTTACGTTTTAGGTGCATTTTGTGCCCTCTAAGCCTCTTCATTTAATCACCCGACATGTTACTGTATGGTGTAAGACTTCTGGTGTTTTGTTTTCTTTCTGTTTAAGCTAGAAATGTTCACATGTCAGACAATAAATGTAGCTAATTATGTTGTCAACCTGTTTTTGTTGCTGCTGCGCAACCAAAGTGAAGTTTTTCTGTCACACGTTTATTTCACTTACTATTTTTGTAGTATTTATCTTTAATTGGTGTGCCATCATTGCCCTATTTATTTTTTGAGTTGTCACTTTTTTTTCTCCTCCATGTTGTATGGTTATTTATTTTTTCTTAAGTTTTATTTATACATTAAATTATTGATTTATTTTTTTTGTAGGCATATGTGAAATTTTTTTAAGCATATTTAATTTTAATTTATTTTTAAGGGATCACTTTTAGAATTGTACCGAAAATCATCCTCTGCAAAAATCAGTTGGAAAATAAAGCAACCATGTCGCAAAAAAAATCCAAATGTCTGCATGTTTTCTTCTTCTAGTCACACGTCTTTATTTATCACAACTTTAAAAATGAAATAAAAAATCACATTTTGCTACGTCTGCATTTTCTTGACTATATTTCTGGCTGTCTTCTCACCAGGATGAACGAGAGAGGAAGATGAAGAAGATGGAGGAACGCATGAGAGAAATCGAACTTTCACTCCATAACGTCAAGCTGCTGCTGAAGGAGAAGGTGACTCAGCTGAAGGACCAGGTATGTCATGATCTTCCTTAAAAAGTGGCTTCACATACCGGTAAAACCAACTTTTATAAGCTAAAATTAAGAAGACGGAAAGATGGATGAATAAATTCTAGTGAGCTCCTTTGTAGATGCTTGTGAAAATGTTTGGGCTTTTTTTTTTCTTCCAGTAACTGAAACTTTAAAAGTCAAAGTCAATTTTATTAATGAGAGATTAAAGGTTGTTTTTCAGGCTAAATATAAATCCAAACTACTTTTTTTTAAATAAAATGTTTCCATCATGTTTTACTTGTGAGAAGCTTTTACACCATATTAATATTAATATGTTCTATTTACACTTTATTTGAAAGTTTGACTGGCATAGAAAATAGTTTGTTTTTCTACCAGTTTGTCTGTGTCCACCTACTTTCCAAACAGAAAATCTTTTAACACGCGACTGGTAAATCATTTCATTTCTCCGACTCTTGCAGCTCCACAGGAACGGCAAAGCAGACGTGCTGATCAAGGACCTGTACGTGGAGAACTCTCAGCTGATCGAGGCTCTGGAAATAACGGAGCAGCGGCAGAAAATCGCAGAGAAGAAGAACTACCTGCTGGAAGAGAAGATCTCCAGCCTCAACAAGATAGTGCGAGACCTAAACCCGTCGACGCTCTCGTCGCTGCCGTACAACTACAAATGCCTGTAACGCGTCTCCTGAAACACTCGGCTCGTTTTGAAGGAGTTGGTCGTGCCGACTTTGATTAGGCACCGAACGTATGCGAACTACAGGGACACTTGTGCAACAGATGCAGGACAATTGGAGGGCTCAGACTTATGTAAACGTCGCTGCTAAATATGCAGGATCTCCATTTGTTTTATTCTTAACCGCAGCAGGTCGACAGACTTGAGTTTTTTTATTAACCAAATGTGAGGTCAAACGGTTGGCTAGTCATTTATTTTGTAGTGATTTTATCATTTTAAAACTATTTTTAAGCTGAAAAGTTGGCTACAAATAGGAAAACAATCCCACCTTTGCATACTCTGTACCATCTCTGTCCAAAGAGAAAAGCAACATTGATGTAAAATGTGTGTCTGTGTTGGTCCTGTAGACACAATGTTAGGAACGAACAGGAAGTAAAATCATGGACAGAATCATCAGTTTTGTAATGCGGACGATGTTTTTGCTTTTTATTTAACACTACCTGAAACTATGTGGACTATAAAAGTCTCGTGTGGCAATACTTAACGTTTATTTAATTATAATTAAGGGGGGAAAAAATGCAATAATCTGTTGCAATATGAAAAGTTGCCATCATGAATGTTTTTGAGCTGAAATGGTCTGTTACAAGTGCAAATAAAATGTATAGCATTCTGATAGTTTGTGGTCATTTTCTTCCTGATTCGAAATGCGATTCTCGTTTTTCTTCTGCTGTTTAACATATTCATCTATTGAGGTAACTGGAATTTGGATTAAATAGTGCTTGCTCCACCACCATATCCTGCAAAAGCTTCACACATGGTCAAATTTTTTATTAAATATTTTTTGATTATTGTCAACTTAAAAATAAGCCCCACAACTGGATCAAGTCGGGATTGTGGTGTATTGAGGAAGTATTACTACTTGACTAAAATCCAAAGGGTTGGAGTCTCAGTTGATGGCGTCTCAACTAAAGTTCTACAGCTTTTTATTTCTCTTTCTCACCGTTTATGTTTTAATTATGTTTTTTTATCTCTTTCTCATGCTGCTTTTTATTTTAATTATGTAAAGCACATTGAAATGCCTTGCTGAAATGAGCTATACAAATAAAATTTGATTGAACTTTTTCACCTTTTTTATGCTTCAATCACAAATTTTATTTTATTGTGGATTTCGTGATAAACCAACACACTGGTGGTGCAAAACTGTCAAAGGAAAAGTAGAAATAGTGTCATTTTATTTTTTTTATTGAAAAAGGAGTATTATTCTCTTATTCTGATACTATTAACACTTCATGATCAGTACATCTCCGTTACTTATTTTACTTTTAAGAATTTTATTTATAAATGTTTTCTCTCCACTTTAGTTATGCTCTACTTTGTTTTGGTCCGTCAATTCGCTACACTTCATCAACACGGCATTTAGTAGTGGTTGTGCTCAAACCGTCCTGCAGGGGGCGTGTGACCAGATTGGAGGACCAGCGCTGGGACAGGACTGCTGCTGCAGCATAGTCGCTCCCAGTGGCTACAGTTAGCTGGCTAACTGCTGCTAGCTGTTGGACAGCTGAAAATGTTTACTTTCTGCCAGTTGTTAACGGAGCGCAGGATGGTAGCAGCGTCGGAGGATTGTGCCATGACTTCCCAGTGTCTTCTTGATGACGTTCCCAAACTTTAAGTTATGCTCTCACGAAAGAAAAGTAAAAACGAAGCGTCAAAACCAGCTGAGGTACACGGGAAATATGTGAAGAAGGAAACGTCTCCGCTCCTCAGAAGTAAGCGCAACAAGTTGTTTGAGCGGCTAGCGCAGGTTAGCATACGTTAGCTCGCTAGCTAAAGTTAACTAGTGCCTGGCTGTACTTAGCTAATGTAAACCAACACATTGAGATGAGAGTATGGAAACATTTAACCACATCATTATGATTTAGAAACTGATTTGCAATGTAATGTACACTGTATGTATTCAGGTAGGATGCTAACAAAGTAGTCCGGTGCTAAATGAAAATCTCATTAACTTTATGTTATGAAAGAGGATAACAATTCTGACGATAACTGCTGTAAATTAAATACACCGGACCTTTTATTTGCCTTAGCAACATTTAGATAAGTTATCTTTTCTTTTTAACTCCTTAACTAAAGCTAAGGTCCTTAGAAATGTAAAAGCCTAACTGTTCTTCTATTTAAATGCCTAATTAGCTTGTTGACAAAACAGAAGAGTTTCAATGAGGGTTTAGATATACTGCCATAAATAAGCTTATTCTGTCAATTTTTTGTTATTATTTAATGTGTTGTGGTTTTTAACTTCAGGTTTAAAGTAATCTTTTAATTTGACCAACATTTTTCTTCTAACTGGAAGAAGTTAGTTTAGGATGCCAGAGTTCTAGAGGTTCTCTGTGAAAAGTTAAATATTGTGAAAGCAAAACGTCCATTGGAGTTCATTGCAAAAGATGAACGGTTCGGCAATTTGAGAAGCATGTTGTTTCTGTAGTGTCTTCAGTTCATTCTCTAATAAAATATTTCTTTTGACACTTCTGGGATCTGCCCACCAATTTCTAATACAAATATATAGTTTTTGGACTATAGTCTCTAACTCCTGACACTGTTAAGCTGACCTTTGTTGATGTCTTGCAGATCTTATGCCCTCATTCATCCGCCATGGACCCACTATTCCCAGACGAACAGAGGGGCCCCCACCGGAGATGGCGTCCTCTTCCTACTCTGTGGCGAACAGCAGGGAATCGGTCGTGTCCCGCAGCAAGAGCGTCCTCCGTGCACCCGTGCAGAGGACGCCACATGAAGTGGCCCGCAGAGAGAGCCACCGCATGTCAGCGCCGCCGTACCTGCCTCGCAGTCTGGGAGATCTGTCCCATGAGTACCGCGGCTCAACGCAATCCTTCCTCACCAATGTGGGCCCCATGTCGGAGAATGGAGATGCTGCCAGGTATTACTACCCAGCTGAACCCTATTATGAAAACCAGCAGCAGCAGCATCAGCCCAGGAGAGTGCAGGAGCGCTTCCCTGATGACTATAGATACTATGAACACAATGAGCACAACTTCCAAAGACTCCCCCACCAACACCACTCCCCAGGGCCAAGCCGACCCCCTTCAGGTAACAGGAAATGCTTTCTAATTAGTAGTTAAAAAGTCATAAACTAAAAGTGATATTTTTCAAGATGTTACAAAGGCTACAGATTTTACCTGCACACATTCATTTTGAAGTCTTATTTGAGAAGTTTTTTCAATAAGTTTGTAATGGCAGGTCTTGTGGATGGAAAGTAAACCTTTCAAGTCTGAGGACTAATCAGACGCCTGCTGATAGAGCTTCAAACAGTCAATCAACTTGCAATTAATTCTCAGTGGTTTAATTAAAAATTGTTCTGACCGATTAACTGATTTTGTCCGCTTAGATCTTTTTTTTAGTGCGGTAGTTTGGCCTCCATCCAGAAGAGGGCACCACTGGCTGTCCTTAAGTGGAACCAGTTGTTACAAAAACAAAGATGGTGGGGCCATACTAGTACAGGAAAGAGGAACTGTTCAAACAGTTTGGGATGAAAAAATTACTTTTTGCTGTTCTTTTTGAAATATAAACACTTAATAGCGCTCATTCATCTGAACTGAATGCACAGAGCACCATCAGCTTCTCATTCAAAAATTATTTATGTACTACGATAACAGAAAAGTGGAGGGGATAACAAAGAATATATGAACATCTGTTTGTTCATGACAGATTAAGTGCTTGACAAATTCATATTTCTTCTATTCAGCAACCTAAAAGGCTCCTGTTTTGTTATATTTTATAAATATGCCTCAGTTTAATAATGCGAGAAATCCACAATTTTCTGCTTATTCAGTCAGTATTTAATACAGCTGTCACAAAATAATGTTAAAATTTAAGTTTTATTCAAATTCAGTTTATTATTTAAAAAAATTTGACCCTTTATGTTACTGAATGGCTGTCGGCCCTCTTTTTTAAGAGCTTTTTAAGAAAATGCCTGCTATCAAAGCTCAATCAGCTTTCGATAAACTCATTGATCAATGACTTGCATCCCTACCTGCCAGTTATATGGAGACTTAACACATGGTTTAGTCAAAGTAACCTCTCTGATAAGCTCCGTTTTAAATATTGCTTATGGTTTTTGAACCACAAGCAGATGACTAAAATACAAGCCACCGGTTTCCAATTCAACAGAGTCACTGTAGTTCATGGTTTCATCCAGATCACATGTTGTCATAAGAAAGCTCCACACTGTAAACAGTAGTACGTTGCGAGTGTAAATTTACCCCCCGAGAGTAAAATTGTATGCGGCTTGCAGGAATTTTCCACTTCTCCTCGAGCAGAAACCCTTTTATTATGTGGCCGTCTTGTTGATGCGTCCCGCCTTTTGCATATCGTTCAGCTCTTTTTGAAGTGAAGTCAAACAAGTGTTGGAGTCTCTGCATTTAGAAAAAAAAATCTCTCCATTTGCCAATAACTTTCTGCTGGCAAACTAGTAATTTCAAGTCAAAAGCCTCCGTTTTAAATGGCTCCCATGCACTGATCTCTTTGTAACTGCATGTCATCCTGATGCGGATTTATAAAAATGCATGTGTGTGTCAGAAGAAAGAGCAGTGTCATTTTCATCCCTTTTACTTTTCGCGACACTCTAAAATGAGCTGCTGTCATCTTGACTTGACACTAATCTGTGAGGTATTCTTGCACATTGTCTGGATTGTGTAGCATTTAACATTTACTCATTGTTCAAATTTTAGACTGCCAGCTAACTTCCTTTTTCATTTTTGTCCTCATCTCCCTCCTGCTCAGGTTGTCAGATGATGACACTAATTAGTTAGCAAAATATTTGTGGCATGGAAGGCAGGGTGTTACTTAATCAGAAGTGCAGCTACACTGAAGGTGACTATTTTCATTTAGATGTCTGCCGCTAACACATTTAGCCAGTCATAATTTCTCTTTAAGAACTGCGGAATGAGAAGATATAAGAAACGTATTTAGTCCAGCTTTGATGCTGTTGGTCAGAATTGACGTCACGATGTGTGAGAAACTAATTTCTGTAAAAACTGTGTTTTACTAAATTATTTGGACTTGCCATTTTTAGCATAATCCGTTAGCATGTAGCTCACTTACGTCGTCTGACTAAAACAGTGGTCTGGCTGCACTTTGTTCAGGTTTCCTGTTATCTGCGGATAGTCTCCATCTTTTTGCAGCACTCGTGTGTGATGCATTCACTGATCAGAAAAAGAGCTGAATATTGGGTTTCCAGCATAACGGCCTCCTCTTCCTCACACTTTCTTATCCTATCTTACCAAATAAATGTCCACGAGTCTTTTTATTGTATATACATTTTTATATTGTTGTTTTTTCCCAAACAACTTACAACTCAAACAAATTAATTAGTGGGAACTAGTGGTGTGCCGATCGATCGGCCAACGATCATAATAGGCCGATTTCCCTGAAAAAGTGTATGATCGGTGATCGCCGATCACGGTCTCTTGTTGCCGATCACACAAACCGATCACCTGCATCTCATTTCCCAGCCTGCCTGTGCAGCTGGTCTCCTCTTTCCTTCACTCTGCTCAAACGCGCAACAACAAATCCTAAGCGAAAATGAAGTCATTACAGATGGTTAAACAATGATCCAGTTTGGTGACATTTAATGAACACTTGAAGAAGCAATATTATGAGTGTTCCGAGCACATAGTGGTACTTTTTTATAGCATAATCAAATAACCATGATACCTTCAGCTGTTAGAAAAAAAGGCTGTATTTATCAAACATTATTGCTTAAAAGAAATTTGACTGCACAATTTAACACCTTGAAATTCGCCTTCAGGAAGTCATCACATCATTTTCCCCGTTAAGCCGTTTACAAATGTTCTGCAAAACAGCTGAGAAGTAGTTTGTGTGATTTGAGGATTGGGCATACTAGTTTAAATAGTAGTTTAAAAATAATAGGGAAACATCCATCAGGTGATTGTTCCTATTGCGGGGAAACAGAAGGAGTAGAACGTGTGTTGATTTATTGTAGAAAATATATAAAATAGAGGAAAGAATTGGAAAGGGTGATGGGGATTTCAGTAACTACGGCTAATTTATTAGGGAACCATCAATCACATGCTATAATTCAAGCACTTATTAAATATTTAAAAGATACAATATTAGCTGAGAGGATTTAGTATGTGTGTGTGTTTGGGTGTATATGTATATAATTTAGTTATTTTAAGATTTGAAGATGTATCGGAAAAAAATAATTTCTGAATTACATCTGGCGGTAATGCACAAAGTTTGTAAGCTGCCAGAAAAAGCTATAGAAGAAGAAGTAATTAGTGTGATGAGCTCAGCAGCTGCCAGTTCCACCAGGTGTTTCCTGATTGCTGCACTGCTTGACTGAAGGTGACTAAAGGAGCTGAGTGGAAAAGGTGCTTGGTGAAAGCAAGTATTTAGACAACCCCAAATGGCGAAGTTAAGGGCTTTTACAAACTTGCCTGAAATAGCCGAAGAAACTGAAATATCGGAAGAAACTGAAATATCTGAAGAAACAGGTATGTTTTTGATTAGGGAATAATCTTATGATATAAAGCTAGCATTCAATTTAGATAATACTGCCCCTTTAAAAAAAATCTAATTTGATTTCCCCTTCTGACTGCCAGTACAATGCAAGAAGCCAAAAATTGATTTTGAAGTTGATTTATGCATCAACAGTTAATTACTATAAAACTTGTATATGAACTTATGAGAAGTCTTCATGCATTAGAATTACAGTACCTGGCCAAAGGATTCTCCTTTAATTTTTGTTCTTATGAGGACTACAAACTTGAATGTATTTTGTTGGGATTTCATGCAATGCAGTGATCAACATCTCGGGTGTGAAAGTGTTAAACAATTTTTCTTGCACGCCACAAATTTGACGTTTATGGAATAGCAACATTGTTGAGGTAAAACTAAAATGTACAGGTTTCCTCAGGCGATGGACGGGACAAACGTTGCAGTTCTGGTCACATTTTATTTGTAAAAAAAAAATGTTCATTTTCTTTCCGATTCACATTGTCCCACTACTTTGTTATGCAACGACAATGTTTGTAGTCGTTGCATAACTGTGACCCTGCGTAGTGAGTCTTTATCTTAAGAAGAAAAAAAAAACTAAAGTTAAGCATGATGATGAGGTGAAGAAAGAGTACGCTTTTCTGGAGCAGAAGCACATTCCATTCCTTCACTCAGCGGCTGGCAGAGAGCTCCAGCTCTGTTGCCCTGCTGCTGTCACTCTCATGCAGAATTTATCCAACTTTAGTTCCCGTTTTCATTTCCTTAACTTTTCCAGAATTTTTCAGCCCCTCTCCTGGCTCGCTCGCCAGTTCCAAAGTCTTGATACTTGTCTGCGCAGCTGGTGGCTAATAAAAGTAGCTTTTAGGAAGCTGGCAGCTTGCAGAAAGTGTTTAGGAGGTTTACCATTTTGTTCTTGTGCGTTTGGCTGGTGTTGGAGAGACGACTGACTTCCTGTCCAAATGTAAAACACTCCCATTTCCTTCTATTCCTCCAACATTCACAGTTGGAGGATTTGTCACATCAGTCAAAATGATTTACAACTCTGCCCACGTTTAGTTTTACTTCCAAACTGCATTCATCGTGCCTTTAGCAGCGATTCTCAGCCTCCTTATCTTACCCTGCTGTATGTTTAGTCGCCCCATTAGATGACCTTTTCAGCAACAGCACATTCCTCTCTTTTAAATGACACTTTCCCACACAAGACAGGAAGACATTTTTAAATGTCTCCTTTTTCCCAGAAGTGCCGTTAGCTGACCGCTGCTGTGCTGCAAATTTGCTCGGACGTCTCTGCTGCTTCAGTCAGAAAGGTTTGTTTTCCTCAGGCATAGGTCGAATACAGGCTAAGTCTCTGGGGAACCTCTCCAGCCTGACCGGAGAGGACATCCCCCTTCCGGCCGGCTGGACCCTCGACTGGACCATCCGCGGCAGAAAGTACTACATCGACCACAACACCAACACTACACACTGGAGCCACCCTCTGGACAGGGAGGGGCTCCCTCCGGGCTGGGAGAAAGTAGAGTCTGCTGAGTTTGGGGTCTATTATATGGATCACATTAACGAAAGAGCACAGTATCGACATCCATGTGCCCCAAGGTAATCCTATAGTGACGCATTTCCATCTACTGAGCCCATTTGTGTTTTTTGTTCTTTTTGTAAATCATTGTTCTATCAATTTAGCTTTTCTCTTTAGGCAGTTTGAATACACTTAAGTTAGCTTGGAACCTAAATCTGTAATCATTTTTAGTATTTGCGACTATTTTTGATAACTTTTAGACCGGTGGTGTCCAAAGTTGGTCCTGGAGGGCCGGCATCCTGCATGTTTTGGGTCTCTCCCTGGTTTAACACACCTGGATCTAATGATGGCTCATTAGAGGCCTAAGGAGAACACTGACCTGCTGAGGACATTGTTTCTACCAGCAGGGGGAGAACTAGAACATGCAGGATGCCGGCCCTGTTTTAGACCCTCATTAATTCAAGAGATTAAAAACACAAAAGGTATTTTTTGATTTGTCAAATGTTTCTCTTTGTTCTTGTATAGATTTTTTGACTCATGACCTTATGAGATTACAAAACCAAAACTACTCCAAGAAAAGGTAGTGGATGGCAACAAGTGGTTTGTTCCTCAAACGCTCTTTCTGAACTTAAAGACCACATTGAGTTAACACCTCCTTACATCCAGGTTGTAAGAATTTTTTGAATCATTTTGTCTTTTTCCGACAAATGAGCAACATATTTTTCAATCAAGTCTGAAGTGTGTTCAAGAATCAAACCACCTGTAGCCACACGTGGCCTTTTCTTGGAATATTTTGGGGGCTTTGGATCTTTCATTTACATAATTGCTCCTTATTTACAAACCAATAGTAAGCTGATTCCATAAATCATTTACTATTCATGACATAAATTTTTATTTTTTTCTTTCCAGCGTGCCTCGCTACGATCAGCCGCCGCCGCCACCTCCTGTGATCCATCAGCCAATGCTGGTGCCGGCTAACCCGTACCATGCGGCTGAGATCCCAGACTGGCTGCAGGTGTACGCCCGCGCACCCCTCAAGTGAGTACAGACTGTGGAGTTAGCAGGAGTGTTTTTTTTTTGTCTAAAATTGAAAATAATAAGAAATTATTTTTGTCTTTTACTGCAACAAGGTATCTGAATCCTTAAGACTTAAATGAATTGGAAAAGTTTCCCTTAAATCAATGTAAATTTTAACTTGATTTAAGTTTACCTTAAATTTAATCAGTTTTTAAATGTATTCTATGTGGTTTATTTTTTCTCTTTTCTGTCAAACGTTTGAGTTGCATGTAGACAAATTAATTAAATTCTATGACTTGCTAGCTGCTAATGTACCTTTCAAAGCTAGATGGCCTGTTTGCACTAAATTAAAACGGGCAGTTTCCCAAAGCTAGCTAGCAAATAGGCTAGCTAGCATACTTGCACTATATTAAAGCACAAATGTTTTTAAAATAAGAGATTTTTAGCTATCTAGTTATCTTTTTGTGTCTCCTGAACAAGTATTTATCAGCAGTTTGGTTGTCTTGGCCATTGGCTCACTTCTGTTGCCAACCTACATGCTACATTTATTGTTAAAAAAAACAACTTGGCACTACTGCTCTATAAAATACATTTTTCTTTTGTTCGCTTGTCATTATTCCTGGCCTTAAAGTTCATTCACAGCTGTCTTAAAAGTTTTAGATTTGTATTGGTGAGACCTGCAGAAACCCTGAGCAAATTGTCATATTCACACCGTAAAATTTGCACTCCTTCCTGAGCTCATAACAAACCATCTTTATTCTTTAACACTTTATTCTTCCCCCCTTCTCCCTCTCTCCAGATACGACCACATCTTGAAGTGGGAGCTGTTCCAGCTGGCTGACCTGGACACGTATCAGGGCATGCTGAAGCTGCTGTTCATGAAGGAGCTGGAGCAAATCGTCAAGTTGTATGAGGCATACCGCCAGGAGCTGCTGACGGAGCTGGAGGCCCGCAAACAGCGGCAGCAGCAGTGGTACGCCCAGCAGCCCAACAAGGGCTACGGCGGGAACATGTGACGGCCGTTCTGCTGTGTGACGAGGAATGCCTTTGCTGAGGTTGCGACGGTTTGGGGAGTGGTCCTTGTTTTGCCTTTGATATCGAGATTGACTCGTAAATTACTTCCTTACCAAAAAAAACCCCATAAAATCCGTGCCTTTTTGCTCGATCCAAATATATAAATATAAATATGCCAGCCAAGAAGTTGAAGCACTTCCTGACGGGGAGGAGAAGAGGGAGAATCAGCTCAAGTGATGCTCACTTTATGAATGACTGGAAAAGAAAAACACTAGAATGAAGACGTCGCCGGCGGACGCTGCTGCTTGTGGCGTTGGGAACCACCAACCTGAGATGTGAATGATGGTGCAATTTTTTCTTTTTTTTTTTTTTTTTGTTTCAGGACTGGGAAGCACCAAGTCTGAAAGTCTGGATATTTGCTGCGAAACATCACAAAACTGTGCCTTTAATAAAATAAAATGCATCAACTTTCTAGTTTTTGCTCATATGCCAACATCATCTAATCCGTCTTTTTTTTTTTTTTTTTTTTCCTGCGAAAAATGACCGGCAGCTTCTTTTATTTAAGCTTTTTTTTTTTTCTCCCTTTTGCTTTGTAACCATCATAAACTAAAACGATACTCCATAAAGTAAATAAACATGCATTGCTCTTGTTTTCTGACGTTCTGTACACTAAAAGACAATCCAAAGGTTTGTGTGATTTATGAGACTTTGTGAAACACAATTGATGCTGCCGTTCATCTGACATGACATCACTACAAATCGGGAATATTCTTGTTTTTCTGTGTTTGACAAAAATAAGCTATTGGACATTTTACCATATCCTCTCTAAATGACATAAAGTTTGCCAGAAAGAACCATTTACAACTTAAACTGCTGTGAATCTTTCTTTGTTTTTGGAATGGATGTTTTGGGTGACTTTACTTTTGGGTAAGTTCCCAGCCTTGTTTTGGGATGCTCAGAAATAATTTTATATGCACCGAAGACCGCTTGATGTGGGGGGGAAAAAATCAACAAAGTGAACTTTTAGTGAACTAAAGGTCTCACCTGTGTCAATATACACTGCTCAAAAAAATAAAGGGAACACTCTAACACATCCTAGATCTGAATGAATGAAATATTCTCATTGAATACTTTGTTCTGTACAAAGTTGAATGTGCTGACAACAAAATCACACAAAAATCAATGGAAATCAAATTTATTAACCAATGGAGGCCTGGATTTGGAGCCACACACAAAATTAAAGTGAAATATTCCCTTTATTTTTTTGAGCAGTATATTTTTTTTCCAAAGCAGACTGTTAAGCTATGCAACCTTGATCCATTTTAAGAGCAAGAATTTGATCCCAGAGTTTAAATCTGCTGTGGATTTTCTCGCGTTGCATTCAGGCTCGCGTACATTCATGCACTTCTTTTGAGTTTAAAATTCCTCAGCAGGTTGCAGAAATATAATTTCGTTGCCTCCAACAAGCTTCTGGTGGGATATTTGGCCACTCTTTTTAGTTGGTTTTCTGATAAAGGCAACTTTTAAACAGTCCACAGATTTTCAATTGTGTTCAAGTCAGAAACTTAATGTTGGGCTGTTTCATCTTTTCCAAAATCAGTTTTGGTTCACCCAACCCCCTCATGTGACTCGTCCAGTGTGCAGAAGTGTCTTTAAAGGGTGTCTTTTTTTGTGTGCTACCTTGGACTTGCATTTTGAATTTAACTGAACATAAACATAAAATAGTTTAATAAAATCAGCTATCGGTGATAAAAACAGTCTTCGCATCAGTTCAGCACTTTAACGGGCAGCTGGTTTGTGAAAGTGGTGGTTCTGGTTATTGTAAAACATGAATTCTCCCCAAAATATCCTAAAATATAAATCCAACTCCAGTTAAATTTAATTTCAAAGCACTCCTGTTTTAAATTATATTTTAAAGTATCACTTTTTTGTTTGGTCATTTTTTTTGAAGGGTTTTACAACTCTGGAAATGAATTTGTTGACATTGAGGGCAAAAATGTCTGTTTGCACTGGAGTTGTTGCTGCTCCTTGATTGTGTAACTTTTGTCTGTTTGGATTAGAGAAAATCCACTATAAATTTAAAGTAATCTACCCTACTTTGAAAGAAAAATCAATCTGTTCAGACAAATCACTAAAAGAAAAAAAACCCTAAGTAAATGGCAGGTATATAAATTTCTCAATCAGGAGTTAAATAAGGATGCTGCATTTGAAAACTAAACTCAGATTCTCTCCAAATTATTCTATAAAAAAAAATCATGTGAAAGGTTTGTTTTCGTTAATTTGGTCCAACTTTATTTATCTCTTGGTGACAAATTGCAGTGTGCTGAAGCCAAACAGCTAGTTTGAAAGATGTCGACTTGTTTAACACTTGCCTTTAAGCGTAGGAGAGGGATGATGTGGGGGAAAAAAAACGTTAAAAGTGTTTTCTATCTCATTCGAAACAAAACGACTTCTCTGACTCATGAAAAGGAACACCTAAAACAGTCAACGTACGGGATTTTAAGAAGCAAAACGATCCGATTGAAAGCCTCCTTGATGCTGATTACACCCTGTGGAAGACTGTAGAGACCAAGCAGTGAACTCAAAGCATCCACACACCAAAAAAAAAAGTCTGTCACCATCAAAAAGCTTTGTGTTTACGACGAATGTGAGCTCGAGGCTCCTCTTGTCACCACGCGACTGAGTTTTTTCGCTCAGAGGGTTCAAGTTACGCGTGTTAAAGATGACAGATGAGATCTGGAATGAGGAGCCTTTTCCCAAAGCCGGGCCTGTGGCCACGCCCGGCAACATCCAGCTTTGATTCCTCTGCGGGCGCAGAACGGCTACATTCCTGGGATTTGCTGGAACATTCAGCGAGAGACAGAACAACGGGTCCGTCGGCCTCCTGTTTGTCATGATAGACGCTAAACACACACACACACGTACACAACCTCTCGACTTCAAAAGCCAAACACACATGCACTGGGATAAAGAAGAGATGCTGCACAAATGCGAAGCTGCAAGCGGAATAAAAAGATGAGATGATGATGATGATGATGATGCCAGTCGTGTTCTGGGAACTTGGAACTGTTGCTGCATTGAAACGCCTCAACTTCTCCTGGAGCATTTTCAAAACATACAGTGCCTTGGAAAAGCTTTCACCTTGAAACCTTTCCACTTTTTGTCACGTTTATAACCACGTTCTTCAATGTTTTTTATGATAAAATACCAAAAAGTGTCACAATTCCAATTGTAATTGAGTAAAAGGTTGCATCTCATGCAAATGAAACATAACCAACTAAAAAAAATTAATAAATATGGCAAGTAGTGCACTAAAAGTAAAAATATTTCACTCAACAGGAAATATTGTGCTGGGAGTGTTAAATTATGCAAAAGTTCAAGTGCACGGTAGTGGCAGCATCATGCTGTGGGGATGCTTTTCTTCAGCAGGTTATAGGAGGCTGCTTAGAGTTGATTCAACTCAATAAAATGAAAAACAAAAAAACAATGTTATTAATCCCTAAAGAAAATTCATAACAGAAGCTATAAGACTGGAAACTGAATTTCACCTTTTAGCAGGTCAGCTATTCAACACAATAGTGCATATGAGGACTAGAGGGGCCTAGTCAAAGTCATTGCCACTGGTCAATGACTTTGAGAATCGGTGTGGCAAATTAAAAAATTGATCTTCACAAATGCTCTTCATCCTAGCTGATGGCGCTGCCAAGAAAAGAGGGGAAAATGCAGCTGAATAGTAGAAAATGATAGAAAGTCCCAATAAAATACATTGAAGGTTTGTGGTTCCAACATGACCAAAATCTGCAAGGCACTGCATTGCCTCCAACTAAGACCGTACCTTTGTGTGTCTGGATTTACCCAGGCTGACACAGATGTAAAAAATAAAAAATAAAAATAAGACAAAACATTTACATTTTATGGCACAATACCACTTTGTCACAACCGTTAAAACATATAGATATATTCTTTTAAAAAGTATACCTGAATTCTGAGCTTAAAGATGAGAAACATCAACATGCAGATAATGCTGCTTCATTATTCAACACACTGTACATAATTTGGCCTTTTGCAGATCTTAGATATAAACAGCACGAAACCCTAAAGAACTGAACGTTTGTCACAAGTGGCTATTTCAATAAAGTCAGCAACACTTTTGGGGGGAGGGGGGAGAAGAATAAGAATTGCCCCGGCATTAAACGACTGAGAAATCTTGTGTGATATGAAATAAACAGCAGACTCGGAAGTCTCCTCCAGTTGAGTGCCCAGAGACAAAAAAGGTGAAAGACGACGGTGAAAGACTGGCGCCCACGCGACGACTGACGCCCATCACCGCGGCGGCGCTCCGACATTTCTGATGCATGAACGTTGTAAAGTTCAATATAAGGATTAAAGTAGTGACTGGATTTGTTGGCCGCAGCAGCAGCCGACGCCAGAGTAAAGAAGTGCCCAACGGGTGAGGAGGATGTCCATCCCAAACAAAACAAAACAAAAAAAGAGTCCCTGCTGCGTCATCATCAGTCCTTCTTCTTGTCCCGCTCCTCGGCGGCGTCGTCCGCGTGCGCTCCGGGGAAAGCGTGGTGGTACAGGTGCCGGTGATTGGCCGCTACATTGTACAGCTTGTGCAGAGCCTGGGGACGGTAAATGAACAGTTAGTTGTTTTATTCAGAAATTACCGACATCACGGGATTTGCTTTGCTTAACAGGAGAGCTGGTGACGTGAACGCAAATAATTTATTTACTTCCGCATTTAAGCTAGCGATTCAACAAGCAGCGATGCTTCTCTTGTCTTCATTAGCTAGACAGACGGACAGATATTTCCCTAAAATACAAAGATAAACGTCTAATTACATGCTTCATGCATACTAAGTAAGCCTGACATGGACAATAAATAAAAAAATGAGCATGCTTTGTGTGTGTGGTCTGCTTAATCTTTGTACAAATGCTGGTTTTTAGTATTACTGAAGAATCGCCATTTTGAAAAGTGACGAACATTTGAAAGTGTAATTAGTTTGCACTTTTTTTATTTTACTAAAGTCTTAGCTGGCAGTTTGCCTGTTTTTCCTGTCTATGCCAAAATAATTAATATGTTTTGAAGTAAAATTTTGTTTTGTTGAGCCTTCATAATCAATTGTAGTTACTCTTTCAGTTGTTTTCTGTAATTATTTCAGATATTTAAAATGTCCTCCAGTTCCAGTGTTAAATGTTATTTGGAAATTATAATTTATTGAGCTTTCTTTAGGGTTTACTTTTATTATTTTGCCTTTATCAATGCACCAGTTGAAGATGGCCTCAAAATGATAATATTAATGTTTATCGAAATAATTTCTGGGATAATTTATTGTCCAGTTATAGCAGGTTTCAAGAGTATTCAAGCATTCTCACCCCATTAACCTTTTAACATTTTGATTTTACAATCTGATATGTTTTCTTTTTATTATTTTTTGCATGATTGGTCATCACAACCACATCAAGAAACTGACATTTTTGCAAAATCAGTCAGATCAATTAGATACCCAATTAGATTTAGGTCTGGCCTTTGACTGGACCATTCTAACACATGAATATGCTTTGATATTAACCCTCGGCTGGATGTTTTCGGTCATTTATCTGCAGGAAGACGAACCTCCACCTCAGATTCATTTTTTATTTTTTTTTTTGCAGCCTTTAGCATGTTTCCTTCCAGGAAATGCCCACAGCATAATGCTGCAACCACCCTTTTCATTGTCAGAATGAAAAAATTACGCCCATTGATTTTATTAAGTGGCATCTGAGTAAAATAACGATAACTACTTGTGATTTTCCTTTTTATTTCCCCAGTTTCTTCATACTTTCATAGGAGTGAGAAAACCTGCATCCACCAAGCCGAAGAGCAGAGATGCCATCTTGTGGCTTTCACACTCTCGCTACCAGCAGACAGTGTGAAAGCCAGCATCAGCTGTGGCATGGGGGGGCGCACAAGGCAAGACATGTTTATGGAGCAACAAGAAAGGACTTGATTACCTACACTAATTTAGAAAAATAAAAGCAGACACAAACGCGAGTTGTCGTTTGGTAAGCAGATGCATTAGCTCTCCTGGCTCTTCGGAAAAACTCACCTCATTCGTGCTCCCCTGCAGAAGCATTAAGAGAGATAAGCACACGTAAAGTAAGTGGATAAGATGCACAACTAAAACACAGATTAAGCAACAACGAAGAGGAACTTAATCTGGTCGTAAAATGGAAAAAAGTAAAATTGTCAGTATTTCCAGACTTTATTCCCTTTCTTATTGTCTAAATATTCCTCCCTTTCTTTCCTTCTTTTCCTTTTTGTGTTCTTCCTGTCTTTCCTTTCTGCTGTTCCTTTCTCACTTTCCGTGTTTTGTTTTATCCCTTCCCTCCCTTGTGTTATTTATCTCCATCCTTCCTTTTAACCATTTTCACAGAAACTGTATGCACCGAACCCAATGTAGGATTTACTGCCACCTAGTGGATATAAATTGTGTGTTTGCTGATGATTTGTTTTTTTGTTCTTTTGGTTTTTGTTTTTTTTTTTTGGTTTTTTTTGACCACAAATGAATAAACTACAGAACCTATAATTTCATTCCTTGGCAAAACACAACAAATATCTCAGTCAAATGCAGCTTAAAATATGAATCTTTGTTGTTTTTTAAAATCTTCAATCACAAATTGGATCTATATGGAGAAATCAATACATTTTTATTGCAAATTGCTTAGTAGAAATGTAGTTTAGACGATGACCAGACTTTAGAAAGGGGCAGTAACCCAGGGCTCTATTTTTTAGGGGATGTGGGACACAGATTTTTTTTTTTAAATGCATGTTTTGCTGACTTTGCACTTTATATAAGAGTCCACTATGAACATTAGCAATACTCAAGTATTTGAAATTATGAAGTTATACAAATTTTTTTTTGGGGGGTGGGGGACATAATAAACCCACCACCATTAGCTGCTATCATCAGTTCTTACCCAAATACGTATAGAACTACCTATTAATTCACTGTAATTGCATTAGAAAGAAATCTTTCTTCAGTGGAAGGACCACCAACACGGGTTCCCACACCCTCGTAGATCCGGTCCCGCTCAGAAGTTTGGATTCAGTGAGTTTCACCCACCTGGTCCCACAGCGCCCCGGCCACCTGGTCGATGACGGCGCCCAGTTCCCTGTACTCCCCGGAGTAGCGGATGTAGGCCCAGGTGCAGAGCGTGATCAGCGCCAGGCCCAGGATCATGTTGCACAGGCTGGCGATGATGTCCACGCCCACAAAGCCCGTGATGCCCGCCGCCACGTACATGACGAAGATGACCACGAAGAGCGTGGCCGGCGTGCGCGCGGCGTGGAAAATGTTCTTGGAGTCGTTGTGCTTGATGTACTGGACGAACACCTCGTCGATCTCGCCCTCCAGCTGCTGCAGGTAGCGGCGGCTGAACTCCTCGCCGCCCATCTTCTTGACGCCGCGGAAGAGCTGCAGGGCCTCCTCCCTGATGGCCCCGTGTCGGTTCTGCAGCTCACTGGGGGCCAGGAAGGGCCGGTCGCCCCCACAGACCTGTTGGGGGAGGGGGGCAGAGAGGCATGTGGATTAACGGGAAAGGAAGTTGGGAATTTGGCGCTCACGTTTACCCAGGCTGCTCGTTTCCACCGACCTCCTCCATTTTTTTGTTGTACAGATCCTTCGCCGCTGCGACTGCTGCTAAGTTGTTGGCCTCTGCTGTAGCCTGAATGAAAACACAGACAATACAGTGAAACAAACAGTGAAACACAAGATGAGGCGCAATGCAATAAATCCAGAGAAAAAAACAACAACAGTTAAACACGGAAAATATAGAGAACATGTGTAATTAGACCAGGGATCTCCAACCTGCAGTTCTTTGGACCTTCCTGAGTAACTTTGGCAAAAAAAAAAAAAAAAAAAAAAAATGGTTTTTTTTTTCAAAAAATAAAAAAATAAA